CATTTCTTTCCTCTACAAAAGAAGAGTTCCAATCATTTAACCTTTCACTATCTATTACATATATGATGATTGAATTATAAAACATAAAATTTGAAGTGTTTTCCCCCTAAAATAAAAAATGATGAATTACAGCATGTCATTTTAATTTTTTAGAGGAAGAAAGTTTTGAATAAATAGATTTGAAAGGACCGGAGTTATTATCATTTAATGGTCCGAGACCTCCTTCCCCGTACTCTCTCTAACATGTAAATGTTGAATTTTACATAAAATGCAAATAAAATGGGGAGACACCTTATGATTGAATTACAAAAGGTTGAAAGGTGAATCTTCCGGCCACTATCAGGTATAATAATCTATGTTGATATGCCATGTGCAGCAATGAATATCTGTCACGGATGACAGACTCAAGGGTGTTTCATTCATATACAATATGATTTGTAGGTATATCGTCTTTGCTGACATATTTTTTTCTGTTAACAGTAAACTTTCAGTAAACTTTCAAAGCATTAGACTTCTCGGATTTCAATAAATGGTTTTTACGTCAACGGAAACCGAACTTAATCCACGTGTTTGTTTGGTAATCCTTTCACAAATACTCATTTAGAATACAATTTTTAAGTCATAGTTAATGTAAATCTTTAATTTGCACTTATTTCACGACAAAGTAACGAACAAAAAAAGTAACCCAAAATACCAACTGTCAAACATTGTATGTCAAAGAACTTGTTTTAAAAAGCAGAGCATATTCGTTTATTGTATGAAACTAGTTCAAAGTAATTCTTTTTTATTTTCAAATATCATAATATAGCATAACATAGGTAAAGAAAGCATGTACATATACATGTAAAAACATCACATATATTATACCAGCTCGATCATATTGTAGATTCTCCATACTCTATACTAAGTTTACCCGCTCATATTGTTGATACTCGACCAACTTGCTTATATTGTTAGTACTCAACCATTCTGGTTACATTATATTGTAGATGCACTACCAGCCCGCTTATTTTGTAGATGCTCTACCGGTCTGCTCATATTGTATGTACTCTACCAGCCCACTCATATTACAGATACTCTACCAACCCACTCATATTATAGATACTCTACCAGGTTTACCTGCTCATACAATAGATGCTCTACCAGCCCGCTCATATAAAATATTGTAGATACTCTGCCGGGTTTTACCTGCTCGTATTGAGATGCTCTACCAACCCGTTTATGTAGTAGATACTCTACCAGCCCGCTCATATTGTAGATACTCTACCGGTGGACTCATGTTGTAGATACTCTACCAGCCCTCACAAATTGGAGAAATTATTAGCTGGACGTATGGATTCCATAGCAACTTCCTCTTGTAGATACTCTTTTAGCTAATGCATTATGTACTAGTATATACTCAAACAGTTCGCTCATCTTGAAAATACTTTCGAATTGATGTTCAACCAACTTGCTCTTATTGTGGCTATCCCATCAAAATATTAACTTTGTTAACTCCCTACCATCTTACTTATATTGTGAATACTCTACCAACTATATCAAACTGTTAATACTCTACAACAGTACAACCCCTATTTTATGTAAATGCTTTATCAACTCTCTCTTTTTATAATGTTTGATTAACTTGCACAACATGCTCTACTTGTGGAAATTCAACCTGTTCATATTGTGGATGGTCAACAAATACACCCGGTTTACTTATACTCTAGCAATCCACTCACGTTATGGATACATAACTAATCCACTCATTTTGTGAATTCTCTACCTGTCTTCTCATTTTGTGGATCCTCTACCAATCCACCCCTTCAATGGATCCTCTACTCCTTTTACGGATACTTCACTAATTTTTTCATTTTGTGGATCCTCTAATAATTCTCTCATTTTGTAGATACTCTACCAATCCACTCTATTATTGGATGCTTCACCAATACACTCATTTGGTGGATACTCTACCAATCCACTCATGTTACATTTTATGGATACTCTACCAATCCACTCCTTTTATGGATTTTCTACCAATCTACTCATTTTGTGGATACTTCATCTTATCCACTCATTTTGTGGATACTTTACCAATCTACTCATTTTGTCGATACCCCAGCAATCTACTCATTCTTTGGATACTTCACCATATCCGCCCCTTTTATGGATACTCTATCAATCCACTCATTTTATTGATACTCTACCAATTTACTCATTTTGTGGATACTCTACAAGTCCACTTATTTTGTGGATACTTCACCTTATGCACTCCTTTTATGGATACTCTATTGATCCTCTCATTTTGTTAATATTTCACCTTATCCATTCATTTTTTGATACTCTACCAATCCTCTCTCGTTTTGTGGACCCTCTTCCAATCCACTCATATCGTGGATACTCTTCAAATCCACTCATTTCGTGGATACCCTTCCAATCCATTCATTTTATGGATACTCTACCAGTCCATTTATTTTGTGGATTCTCCTCCAATCCACTCACAAACTTTCTATTCATTTGTGGATACTCTTCCAATCTACTTATTTTGTGGATCCTCTACCAATCCACTCATATTTTGGATACTCCTCCAATCCACACATTTCGTGGATCCTCTATCAATCCATTCATTTTGTGGATCCTCTCCCTATCTATTCATTTTGTGAATCCTCTACCAATCCATTCATTTTGTGAATCCTCTACCAATCCATTCATTTTGTGGATCCTCTACCAATCTATTCATTTTGTGGATACTCTACCAATCCACTCATTTTTTGGATACTCCTCCAATCCACACATTTTGTGGATCCTCTCCCAATCCATTCTTTTTGTGGATACTTATCAATCCATTCATTTTTTGGTACTCTACACTGAGAGAATTACCTAGTTGATTTAACTATTGTGCCTAGTAAAGCGTCCATTGTGTACATTTTGTGATGGTTGTATACTCCTAGTGAAAGTTACTTATAAATTCTTAGATTTACTAACATTCATTTTGGGGTAGTGATTGTATGGACAGTAAATTTACTAGTCTTCCCAGTGACTTTCACTAGTTATTTTTTTCAGTGTACCAATCCATTCATTTTGTGAATCCTCTGCCAACCCATTCATTTTGTGAATCCTCTACCAATCTATTCATTTTGTGGATACTCTACCAATCTATTTATTTTGTGGATACTCTATCAATCCATTCATTTTGTGAATCCTCTATCAATCCATTCATTTTGTGGATAGTCTACCAATCCACTAATTTTGTGGATACTCCAATTATTGACTCATGGATACTTTTCCAACCCATGTATTTTCTACCAGCTTGCTCAAACTCTGGATCTTTACTAACTCAATCTAACTGGAATCAATCTACAAGCCCTCTCATTTCATGGCATTCACTACCATCTTGCTTACATTGTGTATCTTAGCAAACTCTACCAACTCACTTACATTATGGTTAACTCTACAAACTCCTCCTTATTATAAACATGCACCCTACCAGCCAATCTTAATATGAGAATATTCTATCAAATTGCTCATTTTGTGGATGATTTACCAACTTGCTTACTTTATGAATACTTAAGAATCTTATGGTTAATACTCTGACCAACCTTTTTATTTGGTGGATACTCTACCAACTTGGTTACATTGTGGATACTCTATTAACTTGTTCTCACTGTGGCTACTCTATTCCACCAAATCATGCTATTGATACTCCACCAAAATGCTGATTAAATGGTTATTCTGCTGCAATCTTACCAGACCTATTACACTGCTGCTGCATGTATGTATACAGGCTCTAAAATGATGCAGCGTCTGCTCAAAGATGTTGGAGCAACAGCTGATCAGTAAGTGATGAGTGAATTTTTTCATTTCGAAAAGTAAATTTGTTAACTATTCAAAAGTGTTTCTTTTCAACCAGAGTTAGTTTCTTGTAGACTTTCTCTCTCTGTCTCTCTGTCTCTCTCTCTCTCTCTCTCTCTCTCTCATTTTTGATTTCTAAATACACCAACACAGAAGAATTTCAGTTTCCTTTTCCTATTATTAGAACAAGCTGTATAATGACAGTAAATTATTCTTGCTTTGTATTCTGGCTTTTATCTTTTGTACAGTTAACCATGATAAATTGCATGTAAATTCCCCATATGCCTCCTAATTAGCCCTGGTCAATTGTCTGTTTCTAGCTCTGCAGGTAGAATGTTGCAGTAGTCAGAAAAGTTAAAACAAATGTTACATCAACTGATGATGCTGACTTGCCTCTTCATTGGATGTTAATTTGTTTTTGCATCATTAGTGAATAAATACAAATCAAAACACTTTGTACAAAAATGCTCTCATTTAAATTTTTTATTGAGTCATCCTTAAAAGTTTTCCTAAATTCCACTGTCTTTGGTTCCATATTAATTGTAGTGTTTCTGCACATTGCTTCTTTTTCTGGGGAGTATTCAAAGGTTTCAAATCTTTTTTTATGAATTAAAAAATTGGCATTTGGCAATCAATAATTTATTATACTTATGCTATTTTGGAGACAAAAACTTTAAACTTATTGACTTTTTTGGATAAAATCAAGATTATCTCGAGGTCAACATGAAAAATTGATAATGTTGTTTTTGTTTTTAACTCTGATCTGCTACATTAACTTCCAAAGACAATTCCTGTATAGAGCCATAATTACCAAAGTCTTGCACAAAAAACCTCTTTGTTTCCACGTGTCAACATGTACTTATTAATTAATCCAATCAGATTGTCCACACAATGTAACTAGTGTATTGATTCATTGCTATAATATATAATATGACAACTAAGTTAACCTCTTTATTGATTTATACTAATTTTCATCACAAAGTACTGACATTAAGTATTGATAAGTTTTTAGTAGTTTTGAGGAGTTATCAAGCCGTGTAGAATGGGTGGCTCTTACCCGTCTACTACTCATCACATAAACATGGTGGACCCTTTAACACTTTTGACAGAACTCTGTCTTCTGCCAGAAACAGATTTTGATTTTTGGGTTTCTTGGCGGGTCATTAGATCTCTTGATGGAGATGTCGTACAATTTGGAAGCACATTCTCGACCACATTGTCTTGCGACTAATTTAAAGGACAGTTTTGTTGTCGACTGAGAGAGAGGCAGACAGTAGAAGGTGTAGATTGCTATCGCGGTGGTGATAAGTTGTTTCTCTGTGTACTGGTATTACATGGGGACAAGAGGAGTTTAAATGCTAGCGCTATATGATACAATTTACATTCAGGCCAAGCATTTAAACTGAGATGATCTTCTTTTGATTTTTATTTTCTACAGTTGACTTTTCTTGTATTGCTTCTTTATTCTGTATTTATATGTACACTGATTAATTACTAGTGGAGGAATTATATATTGTGTTGACTCCTAAGAGCAGTGGATTAGCACCTTTGGGGATTTAGCAGTGACTTTCTAATGCTGTGCTGGATTTATATGTTCAAGGAGATTCTGTTTAGAAAAGGAAACTTTATCAGGTAAAAAAAGGAAGAAATTTTTAAAAGAGAAAAAAATATGCGTATTTGATTTTCAGTTATAATCAAATATATCCTATATATTTCTTTTAGAATCTAAATGGCGTAAAGAAACATTTCAATAAAGTAAGATAACTGTTTGTATAATCTCTTTGATTTTCTTTTAAAGCTGTATAATATTTAAGTGTATTATTTAATACAGTTGATCTTTTGGCTGTTTTGTAAATGTGATATTTGATTTACTAATAGGGATTTTACAAATACAAATGTTGAAGCTCTTCACAATGTTTAATCTATCATTTAGAATCCTTTTAACTCCCTAAGTTCTCTGATTCACAATGTTTAGAGAAAGTCAACACTGTTTACTTTGATATTTTTTTTCGGAAACTCATTCATCACACAAACAAGCTCTAAAACAACACAGATTTTCAACAGACCAAAAGTTTCTTAAAAGGATTGCCTGCTTGCAGTATTAATTATGAAATGAAAATATATCTTTTGAAAATAAAATTATCCTCAAAATGCCCTTAATGATAGCTATCTTCTGGATCATTGAAAATATTGAATCAGCTAATCATGCCGTGAATTTAAGATGACCAATTTGCAGATTCTATCGCAGATTAAAATTCTAAGGGAAATTTAAAGAAGTTTTGAATGAATGTAAAATCTGAACTGAAAAGTTTGTTCAAAGCCACCAATCCAAAGGCAAATATTTTGATAGCAATAATAAGTCTTGTGTATTTTAATTCCCTCAATATTTCAAAAATTTAATGAAAATAAAAGTTTTAAAGGTGAAATGGAATGAGTTGGCACTCATTGTAATCTGTTTGTTGCTTTTTATTATGAGTGGTAGATTTTAAAGGTTTTTGTCTCCAAATGACTGTTATCCCATTCTCTCAAGTGTATTGGGATAATCTGGCTTGATAGGGTTAAATTTCTAACACCATCAAATATTTGGATAAAGTTTATGATCTCCCTTGATTTTTTTACTTATCAGCAGAAAACTTTAACTACTTGAAGGGAAGACCGGAGACTTAATTTATTGGGTGCAACTGTTAAGAAATTGGCACTCTCCTAACCTTTTGGTGCGACATTTGCAATTACTGAAAATATATCGTGCTGCAATATGATCACCAGGTTGTAAACACATTCATTCCATGAATTCATTACTGAAATAAAATTTATTTCTGGAGAGGAAAAAGAATTTTTTAAAGGTTTAAACATCACAGGTGCATGGGGGAAAAATTTGTTACCACCTAATTAAAACTGAATTATCTATTTTTTACGACCTCCTATAATCTCAAAGAACTTTTTGAAATAATTTCAAGAATATTTCTAAACATTATCAAAGAGGAGGGAAGTATTGTGTATTTCATTAGAGCGCTGTTGTTCTTCATATTACACTAGATTTATGAGAGACAGGCATTTTTCCCGGGTTTCTGACGTGCAAATTCTCACTTCTTTATGTAATTTCTTTCGTTTGACAGATAGGAGATGGCACCACTTACCCATTGTGTGGCGCTGATTCTGTGCGTGGTGGTTGGCAGACTTCACTCACTAAGTACAGGTAAATCCTAATTCAGTCTGACAATCAACCCATTTCCTGCACACTCCAGCATAAACTACAAAAATCTCTTGGAATCATGCATAAGAAAAAATGCCATATTAAAAATACATGTGAAATAAAATCTTTAATATCTTTATATTTTTCTTTCTAAAGGGTTCTCTTATTATTAATTTTCAATTTCTGCTTCAAGAAACTAATAAAATGATTTAATCTTTAGAAATCTAATATTGTAAGAGGAGAAATGATCAAGTATACCATTTATAAAGGGAAAATGATACAGGAAAAACAGATCATAACTGTCATATGATTCATTGTTGATTTTGTCACTGAAGGGATATATAAGTTACATGTTTCTGAACATAACAACCTTCTAGTAAGTATTGTATGAAATGACATATTACCAGAACAAATGTAATCTACAGATTATTATTGGGTATAAAGTGTGATTTCACAAGACACCCAAGGGAGATAATCAATAGCCATTAATCTGGGGTGTTGAAACTCTTGACTTTCAAGTAGCTAGTGACATAATTATCTGGAGGGGTGTCAGGTAGATATTTTTGGGTAACATTAATGGGTTTAAGTTAAGGTGTAGGCTTTATAATGAGAATGTCTGAAAAGGGGATTTATACTGGTATATATATAGGATTAGGAGGCAGCTGGAATTGACAAGGGGAGATAATTATGACTTATGTACACAGATGTCATATGAGTTACAGAAACAAGAAAGGCTTATTTTCTAATAAAATTAAATCCTGTATAGGTAGGGTGAGTCTTTTATTGGTGAGTTTACCCCAGGAATGACTTTTTGTTACGATTTACAACTTAACAATGTAATGGATACAAAGGTTTTAATATCTCAGTTACATGAAAATTTGGACATTTCTAGGTCATTGCTTTAACCCTCAATAAAAACAAGAAAATAGATATTTAAGCAAATTTAAATGTACCCTTTCTTTTTAATTCCACATAAAATGTGTGGACAAACTTTTGAAGGAAGGAAACATTTGTAATATCTTTATAAAGCGGAGATCAAAAAAGTTAGAAGCAAAGGGTGGGCCTACTATTTGCTTGATTGTAACAATAAAAGAGCTTCTACTCCTATGATCAGTTTTGTTTCTAGGTGCAATGTGTTTATTTTAGATGTGTAAGATGGGGAGTTCAAAGCAAGGTGATTATGATAGTGTTTGCTCATATGAATTTTTTTATTGACGGAAGGTCAACCCCATGGCTTTGCGATGGTGGGCAGGTGCAAATTGAATACTCCATTTACTTAGAAATTTATTGACACAGAATGTGTATACATTTAAATATACTTAATTTAACATGGCATCTGCCTTTTGGAAAATAATTTAATAAGGAAAGTTGCTTTGGTCTTAAGGAGGGGTTTGTCATCTTTAATGAAATAAAGTGTCATTTATGAACCAATGCACCCCCATCAGAGTCAATTATTGCAGCTTTCATCTATAAAAGGATTTCCCAATTTATATTTCAAATTTAATTTGTTATAGCATCGGAAGATTTTATAAATTTACCTTACTACCCCACACATATTTTTGGATAAGGTCTTTGTTCTTTGATTTGCTTTCAACACAGTTTTTTCTAAAGAGAGTTATTCGTTTCATGTTTTAGTACACAAAGCTAAAAAATACACAATGAGTTTTAAATTGAGTGAAAAATTTTATGTGTCAAAGTCTATTAAATACAAAGAAATTTTAACCTAATATTCTTTAAAAGAGATCATTTAAAAGTTATTTATTCACACCAGTATATAATATTTCTCTATCTGATATAAATCTACAACTTTAACTTTGAAGCCTTTTTTACTTTTAAAAAGTACAAAGGTTGCTATCATATTCAGTTATGATATCATGTTTTTGCATCCTTCATTTAAGGGGTTTAAAATGCATCATTTAACACCGTTTTATCTAATAAACAAATATATGCTCCCTTTAGAACATCTCATAAATATACCACAAAAAAAATTCTGGACTTTAGTTAGGTTTATTTTTGGAAGTCTTATTTTGCAAGAAACAAATTCAGCTTATCAGTTTTAAAAAAAGGGAGAATGTAAAAAGAGAAAAGGAAGAAAGAAAATGATTTTTACGGAGAAAGTTGATTCAAGATAATTTTTTCTTTGCCAGGTTGTACAGGGAATGGTAGAATTATCACAGAGAATCAAGTGTCTGTCTGTAAAGGTTCTTGGAGTGGCCATATTAGAAACGCCACCAGTCTGTGCGCCCCAGGGTGGGGAGTATGCTCACACAAAGAACAGCATTTACTGAGGAGGATCCAATGGAAGCAGGCCACGGCTATTCCTGGCTGTTACGCCATTAATGCAGCTCACGACGGAGGTCGCTGTCGAGAGTGCGGAGATACCATGGATCAAGTAAGGCATTGACGTGGAAGAGTTATTTCCCTTCCCACTCTCATTCCCAAAGTTGATGGGCTAGACACATTCACAATATGATTTGAAATATTTAACTCTTTGTTAAATAGATGAGACAACTGGGTTTAATTCCAAATCAATGCACACAACTTTATCCACAACAAATGTAATTCATTCACTCTCAAACTATAGCATTTCTTACTCATGTTGTAAATATGTGTATTATTTTTAATCAGTGATGGACCTAATCTATAAATGCATGCATCACTTATCTTTATCTTGTATTTCTAAAGGTATACATATATGCATGGTGCATATATCTTCTCCATACAAGAGAAATATTAGTTGCATAGATACCAAAAAAAAGCATCCAGTTATTACCGTGAATTTAATCCAATTCATAAATTTTGTGCTAAGCTAGAAGTTTATATATTCTGATAAATAGCCTTTCATATTTTTATTATGAATAATAATAAAGTATATCCTTGATTTTATTCCTCTTAAAATGGGTGTTAATATGAAATTACAAATCGCATTGAAACCAAACAATATGAAGAACTCTCCTATCTACGTCAGAAAGAGAAGTCTTTAGCACTTTTAAAATTTGCTTTGTAATTGTGAAGGAGTAGACCAGATGGGGAGATTGATAAAAAAAACAAAATTATCAAAATAACCCTGAATATTTTAACACCTTAGATAACATTATCATAACTGTCGTCAGGTAGCGATTGAACAAAACGTCTGCGTGTGTACATTCCTCAAACTTAAATGCATTGTAATGCCTCAGATTACTTAGTATTCAATTGTTCCCTAATGTAATACCTCAATAAAAGGACGGAAACCACGAAATGTTACCAGATTGACTAAATCAGACAAAAAACAGCAGAACATTTCATTCCTTCTGATATTTAAGTAGCAGCATGTCAGAGGCCAGTTTTTGCAATATTTGTGCTCAACAGAATTTATGCTACAGTTGCTGTTTTCCTCTCTAATTTCATGACCCTCACACTGCAATGGGAGGTTTATTAAGGATTCTGTTGGGACCATATTTCCGGAATTTCCCCTGATACAAGAGATCTGTCCCCTGATTTTGTGGCTATTTTATGGGTGGAAGTCCCATAATAAATCTATATGGCTCTAATGCAATCCCCAGAGTTTACTTAGTGACTATAATTCGAACATTAAAGTGATGGCATCTAACCCATTTATCCTGCAGCAGTCTTCTGGTGTTAGTAAGATAACAGAATCAAACAAATTTTTTCCTATAAAATTTATAACAAGATTTTGGGGAAATATTAGTAAACCACTCTGAGAATTTTTTTGGCATTTATTAATTATAGCCTTAGCTAACAGCATTTTTCATATGGATGATTACATCATAAATGTCATAGCTCAAACCTGTTACTGCATTATTAATATATCTTTTGATTGCAACAATATTTTGGTCTTCCATTTCCATCTGGGGTAAAGATAGTCCTCTTTTCGGTAAAAAATATATGATAATTCACAGATTATTGTTTAGATTTTTAAAAGAAAAACAAACATTGTAATTCTGATATTTTACATTTAGGATGATTTGGGGGGGATTGGTCAGCATTGTCCACACCAGAACTTTGGTCAGACATCTTGTATCCAGGGAGGTCGTATTGACGCCAGCTGTTGTGTTGACGCTCACTTCCACACGGCATGTCACCAAACAAATGACATAACAGGAGTCGTCTGCTGTAAGGTTAAAGGTCAGAAGCCTCAGATTCAGGCACGACCCCAGGAGAAGTTGCTGGTCAAAGAGGGGAAGATATTTCTGCTGAGTTGTCAAGCCTCTGGATCACCTCATCCCAGAATTCATTGGTACAAAGATGGACGACAGATTTCAGATGGGGGGAGGAGCAGAGTCTCTGTATTGTCTTCAGGTTATTAATATAGCTTTGAAAAATGAATAACAAAAACAATCATCAATTGCATTCTATGCTGCATAAAGGGAGCTAACTCAATTTACATAAAATTACTCTTTGGAGAACATTGATTAGGACTTCTTTAAGTACACTACTACAAAAAGTACTTTTTTTTTTATAATTTGGATTTTTTGAAAATATGTATGCAAAATTGAAAAATTTCATGATGACTGTTGTATCTGACAGCCCAAACCTCTAATAGAGAAAAAAAATCCCTGTAAGAGTTACTGCCCTTTTTACTGTCCAATTCTCAAGTATTCCATTTGACAACAGGTGACTTGCTCTTTACATTGGCCAAGAGATCTGACACAGGACTGTACAGTTGTGAAGTCGTCAATGAACATGGAATGGACATCGCCAGTACCAAAGTCATCATAGAGGGTAAGGAAGGTCTCTGAGACGGTCAATCTTGAGACGGTCAATCTTGAGTATCAATATGAAAAAATGGAATTCTGATTCTGTTTCTGTATAAATCAGATAAATGTGACATTGTGTACTTTTTACCTGAAAAAAGTTTAATTTTCATTTGCCTTATTCTGGATGATTTGTCACCATATATACATGTACTTCTTTTTCATGGACAATATTTTATGACATGTGAATTACCTGTTAAAATATGTTTCGAGAGCCTTGACACTTTATTGAATTTATTTTCTTTTATTGAGCAGATCCCGATCAGTCAGGGTGTAGGCGTGGATCTTCAGATGGGATAGCCCTACACAGAGATGTACACGCCTGTAAAGGGAGGTGGGAGGGGCATGTCAGGAAGGGGCGGAGCCTGTGTCACAGAGGATGGAGGGTCTGCAGTCCCAAAGATCGGGTCACACTACACCATCTCTCATGGCTGGACGTCTATGATCTGAAAGGTTGCTATGCTTACAATGCTGCAAACTCCAGGGGCAAATGTCAAAGGTGAAGATTTCTCTTTTTTTAAAACAATATTTTATCATGAATAATCATTAAGAATCAGACAGCAGGCACTGCCTATATTAGCCACATTTATTCCTCTCCAGACAGATTAACTAAAGATTTCTCTCTGATTACCTATCTTACGAACAGGCACGTAGAAACAGGGGGGTGGGATGGGCCCCCCTTTTTTTCCGAAATAACATTTATTATTGAGAATATTAATTGAAAGGCTGGATAGGCCCCCCACTTTTTGCTAGAGTAAACTGAAATAAGGAGAAGGAAGTATGGTATGAAAAAAAAATTGAAAAAAGTTGGCCTCTACCCTCCCCCCTCTTTCCCCCATGAAATAGAATTTTTGAGTTTGGGCAATTTTTCTCTTTTTTTGCTTGTCAATTTTTTCAGGTAAGTAAAATTTTTATTCCCCCCCCCCCCCCCATCGATGCATTTCATAAATGATGCTACATCACTGATAAATGTGGATTAATGTTCTTTGAAAAGAATTATACTTTTATACTTACTCTTGAAAAATTTAAGATGCATGAATGGCAGGATGGCAGGGGTAGGCCAATACTGTGGAAGGATGAGGTTCTCTAAGTCCTCATGTTTGGCCCAGGGTATGATTGATGTTTTTAAACCCAAAGACAAGGTTGATAGTTGCTCCTACAAAGAGGGCGTCACAACAGGAGTTCTGTGCTGTAGAAAAAAGAAACAACAATCTGGTAGGTGAAGAAGGAATTGTTTTTGCAATTTTATTTCAATGCGTATACATGTATATTACCGGGTAATAAAATCAAACTTTGCTACATGTATTTCAATCTCAGGTGACGAAGAAAAATTTCCGGATATCCAATAATGTTTTGAGATATTTAAAATAAAATAATTTGAGAAAAAGTTGTTGGGATTTCCAAAACACTTCAATATATCTATGGTATTTAAGATATTGATGTTCAAGATATCAAAGTTCAACTGTACATATACATGTATATACTGATATTGATGTTTCAACTAGATTTTGCCCCGTTTTAAATTCGCCCAAAGAAAATATATTGTATATATTTAATTCAACTGTACATGTATATAGATAGTTTTTACAGTAGATTATTTTTATTTATTGCAGTTGTACATCACAAACCAGCCCTATGCACAGCTAAATGTGAGAATGGCGGAGTCTGTATCAAACCCAATGTCTGTCAGTGTAAACCTGGATATAAAGGAGCCACTTGTCACATAGGTAACATAGATCGGGCATAAACTCTTTAGGTTAAAGACAGAAGGGCTTATGTGACAGTAAGGTGTCCAAATTCTGTCTATCTGCTTGTCTGTAAATAATTTTCAAAATACTATTCCTCCTACAGTTTTGGTCCAGTTTCAATAAAACTTGGTATATAAGTAAATTAAACAAAAAAACATGCTTCTCTTTATCAGTTTTTGATTTTAACATGAGGTGATGATGTTTTAACCAATGCCTTTCTTTACTTGCTCTTCAAAACAATCAAGTTACAATCTTGTTACAAAATTAATTGAAATTTACGTTTGTTTTTTTTTTGTCTAAAAATTAATTTTGTAAATTGGACACTTTGTTATATTACAGCGATATGTGAAGGAGGGTGTGGCTCATTTGCAACGTGCATCAAACCTGGAAAATGCAAGTGTAAAGAAGGTTATGTTGGTAAAAATTGCCGGAAGAAAGCAAAGCATGAATGTCTCCGATTCTGTATGAAGAGCTGTCCGTCTGGGAAATGTAGCTGTCCTAAATATGGAAGATCCTGTACAAAAGGTAAAACATAAATCCATGCAAGTTCTAAATATGGAAGATAAGTAGGAATAAAATCCCAATTCGAAAGTACAATTTCTCAAATTTCCATGTAAAAATGATAAAAAAGTTTACTATATATGGATGTTTTGTTATTCTTATTGAATTCATCACATTTATATTTTGATTTTTAGTTTTATGGATGCACAGAAATCGAACAAATTCATGAAAGACTGTAATAGAAGAGAGTGAAAAAAATCAACCATTCCAGCAATAACTGGGTGGTTCCGCTATATAAGGTAACATTCCACGGGCGCCAGTAACAGCTTGGGGTATCCACTTATGCTGCCAGTACCCACAATATTACAAGACAATTTATCATGTGATATAGTATTATCCTAAAGAATGAAAAGTTACACTGCATTGGCCTATATGACTGTCTCTACATATATATTGACTATTTGTAAATGTATTGAATAAATATAAACTGCACTTATGATTATACATGTACATGTATGTATAATAGAAAATTCATAAACTTTAATTTATTAGCAAGGCATTGATTAATTAATTTGTAAAAAATTATCATTACATTTCATTTTTCATGCATAAAACAGATCTAGGAAGTATCTTTAAAATCTGGTAAAAATTTTCTTGAAAAGTTCTGGTATAAAATTCAACACTTATCATCTGATTAGCAGTATTAGTAGTTAAAGATTTCAAGCTAAAGTTTGAGGCTTTCAATTTACTCTAGTCTTTTTTTTTCAGATTTATGTAGTTTTTGAATCTTTTTATATTGTTTATGCATAGGAATTCAAAATTGACTGGTACAATTCTCTGTCATCCTTGGACTTTCAGTAAGGCGTGGCATTTTCTATTGTCTCTCAAATGGCAAATAGATTCTCATTGATTAAGAAATCAATAACAACAGTGAGACGACTTAAGCCCTACGAAAAGCTTAATTTCATTGGATCATTGCTACTCTTGTTGACATTTGCCCACATTTCTATCCCATGTATATTTCAACAGTGAATGAAAGGCTGTGTAAATCTCAGACGCTAATTATGTAAAATCGAGAATACCACCCCTTACTGGAATCCAAGGTAAACAGAGAATTGTACTAATTAAGCACTATTAAAAAATTCACAGCGAAAAATTCAATCACATCACTTAGATGTTGCTATAATAAGAAGATAAATGTGCTCTCTGTTTATAAGAGCTATTTATCTATTGTGTGATTTTGAACGAAATATTCATGTAGTTTACAATCATAATTCGCTTATACTACCAATTTTCATTCACATTTCAGAGGCAATATAACTATATCTACCTCATTTATGTATTCCATTGACCTGTTTTTATGTATTTTGAGATTATTTTCACGCAATATCTGCACAATGTTTCATTTCAATAGGTAATATTCATGATTAACCATGCATTTGTCAATTTCGTTTGCTAAATTGATTTTAGAAAAAAAAGATTGTAGAATAATCATTATAATTTGCATAATTTAAGTTCACAACATTTAATTAATAAAGCATTTATAATGTACAGAACTCGGACCTGGCCTTAGTTTTAATACATAAGCATAATAAATCAACACTTTGGCCAGTATTTGGTAGTATTTTGTAAATTCTTTTGTCGTGTCACTGTATTATTTCAGTGTTTATGTTTTTGTATTGTAAACTTGATGTATATCTATTTAAAGTAAAGTTTTGTTAGGAATAGTATCATGTTACATTTTTAAAAGCTTAATTGTAAGTTGGATTACATTAAATATGTAATATTTTGTTGTAATTTAAATATTTAAAATTATTAGAATATTTGAGACTTTGAAAAATCAAATCTGCATGCACTTTAAATCAACGTATGAGGTAATAATTCCATTATTAAAACCAAAGCAAACAATTTACTACAGATCAAATTGTATTTTAATACTTTAATTTCTGAAATGATATCTTTCAGTAATTTTACCCATGAAAATTAGTTTTTGACTACATTTATGTAAGCTAATAAAAAGAAGTGGTTAATAATGCACAATTTTTAAGAAAATGATTTTCAAAAAAAGTAGTTCCAAATATTTGTATTATGACAATGAGATTTGTTATGAAATTGCAATGTTATTTTTTATAAAATTGTTTCTCTGAGATTTTCTTTGTTCATTATTTATTTTCAACAGACCTTTTGGTTATTCTACACCATGACTTGCATTTCCTAAAATTTTTAAAATTCAAACATACGAGTATATGTGTATATTCAAAGAATACAAAGCTAGTTGATTTTAGAGGGATTTTTGGAGTCGTTATATGGTGTAATTGGATTATTGGACCCCCCACAATGCCAACATTTAGATGCCTAATTACCATTAGTGAACAGACATATGCCTCTTTTTGTGATTTATGGTAATTTTAACGTAAGTGTAAAGAAGTAAGGGTGGTCATGGGTTAATTAGCTCCAACCGAGTGCACGATGAACAAATGAAATATCTTGTGAAAAAAAGTTTTGGTTTGGTATAGAAATATTAAAAAAAAAAAAACAAACATAAGGCATTTTTTGGTTTAATCACAGGAGTTCGCGTACCTATCATATAACTTAACACGTGTTATTATTATAGAACATTTTTTTTTCCTGTTTAATTAACAGTTCAGTTCAAAACAAAACAAAAATGACAAACAGGTGACTGTAAAAAAATGGTTTGCACTTTCCATAAAAATAATTCCATATATAACAATAGATGTTTACCTGTATTTTGTATTTTATGAAAAAATGCATAAAAAATATTATTTATTTCGATTTTTGAAATAATAAAAAGATCTCAAGACACATTGTTTACACAGACAGGTATAAAATCTTACCTTTTTCTATGATTTTCAAAAAATGGGAATGACACTGTATGACACTGCATGCATGAATGAACAAGTGGGAATCGTCTCCCAAACCCCCTTCTATCCATATCTATAACCTTCCCCTATTTCCACTATCTTTCTCTTATACTAGTAGTCCAGTCGATTTATCGTGAAACAACACACTACTACATTGTGTAGTTATGGCAACACAATAACTTTTGTTACAAATAAACTCTAGAATATACAAAATGAATTTAATAAAAAAAAAAAGCTGACAAAATTGAGGGGAAAGCATTTTTTTGGGGTCATAATAAGTTTTCTATATATGGAAAGGGCATGATGTAACTCTTGACGATTTTAATTTTGATTAAAATTTGGTGCATTTTTTAACCTTGAAAGGTCGCCCGCGTGGCGCAGTAGTTAGAGCATTAGCGTTTACTCTAGAGTCGCGAAGTAAGGAGTTGATCCTTATGTCGCGGGTTCGAATCCCACTTTGGGACGTGAAGACCGGTCCTTCGGATGAAACCGTATAAACTGAGGGTCCGTGTCGAAGTAGGTGCTGGAACGAAAACGACTTCTCACTGCTCAATGGCCGTAAGTGCCAAGTATAGGACAAAATTTGCAACCTTGAAAAGAGAAAAACTAAATACACTGTGTAGAATGACATTTATAGTTGTAGTAAAACCTTTTATTCCTAAAGAAAAAAATCTACATATGTATTTGCTTATTTGAGCTTGATCTTGCATTTCCTAGTCTCATAATGATATATTTCAAATTGATGCTATCAAATTCATTAATTATGCTTTCCGCTCGTTATATTTTCTTATACTGTCCCTGCATTTGTTTGGGTACACATTTTTGTTTTGGTCTATTCACTGTCAGTATATAGTCTTTATTCCAAAATAGCACCTTAACTCAGTGTAAATTCTTGAAGAAAGATAACTCAAAATTCAAATTTGAAGAGATAGACATGAAAATTTAAATAGGATTGATATTCAACATGATTGTTAGCGATTTTTGCTTGTTTATAATTTAAATAAAACTGGCTCTTACTACGTACACACGCCCATAAGGGGTTAAGGAGAGAGAAAGAGAGGGAGAGAGAAACAAAGTTGCGTCTGAATTGATCTTCTACTCTAGACTTCCCTCCTTGAATCAGATATAGGAATATTATGTGTGATTGTCTCTGGACAACAATTCCACGCGTATTTTGATACATAATGCAATTAAATTCTGATTTTGATCACAAGTGTCAAAGAGTCAAGAACAGTAGTTTAAATATCCATTATCCAGCTTTGTGTTTCCTTCAAGTAAAACAATACAACTCTAAAGCGTCTTCATTGATTGAACGTTGATAAGTTGTGTATTGGGGAGTTAACTCAGAAACAATGAACTGCAATACTAATTTTGATTGCATCAAAAATTATATTTTAATAGATGGGTTGATTGGTTATCTAGTAGGTACTTGTTTACAGGTAAACCCTGTTGTCCGGGTGCGGAGACTCAAGGTAGGTTGCCAATTTTATTTCTTTTTTGGCCAACATTTGCTGATATACGTATTGGTTTATGCTGAATTCATTTTTGATTAGATACATCTAATTTTGCGCATTTTATCCCTTTTCCCGAGAGAGAGAGAGAGAGAGAGAGAGAGAGAGAGAGCTAAGTAAATGGGAGGGAATTAGATATGTTTTTAAACTTTACTTTTTGTTTTACAATATTGTACATAGATGTAGATGTTCTTCAAACTTTTTAAAAATTTCGATCAATGATTTTATAACAGAAATCCTGTCTGCAGCACTAAAATTAGTTTTCTACTAAATGTGGCAAGAAACGATTAACTTTGCTTTGTTTTGGCAATATATTCGAAAAATTTGGTCATCAATAGTTCATAAAATTTGATTTGACTTTTATTTACATGCCATAAGAGAAATCTGAAATGTAAATGTGAAAGTAATAAGGCAAGAATGTAGTTTGGAACTTGTCAAAAAGACTAAAAATTTGCCTCCCGGTTTTCTTAACCATAGAATTCAAATCCTTATAAGAAACACATCGTCTTTGAACATTTTCTTTTTTCTCCTTAAAATGTCCCTTACTAATGTAAAAGATGTGTTTGGGAAACGTTACACTGATGCCTCGTATGGCAGCTCATGTCGAAGGTTAAAAGTTTTCGAATGCAAGCCAAGTCCATGGTTAACTCAAGAGATCAACAATATATTTGTACCCAAAGAAAGGTCTTTCACAAGGAATGTGAAATATCAAAGCACTAGCACCAACCATTAGAAAGTCATGGCCAAGGTTAAAGTTTTTCAAAAGTAACTCAAACTCCAAGGTCAAGGATAAAAAGTAAAAAAAAAAAAGTACTCAAGAAAAAGTTTCGTCATAAGAAATACTTTTATGAAATATGAATGAAAATCGCACCAAAAGAGGGTTATCCCTTTTTTGTCCCCCGCTTTCGCGAAAGCGAGGGGACATTAAATCTCATTCGTCTGTCCGTCGGTCCGTCTGTCTGTCCGTCGGTCCGTCAGTCTGTCCGTCCGTCACACAAACTTTAACCTTGCCCATAACTTTTGATTTAGTGGAGCTATAATTTTCATATTTCATATGTGTAATAAGACCTTTCTTTGGGTACCACCAAATTTGACCTTTTGACCTTGACCTTGGAGTTTCAACTACTTTTACTAAAAAAATCCAAACTTTTACTTTGGCCATAACTTTTGAATGAAATATTTAACATATTTATTCTTTGTGACAAGACCTTTCAATGAACACCAACAACTTTGACCTTTTGACCTTGACCCTGGAAATGTACGTACTTATGAAAAAACTTTATCCTTGACCATAATTTTTGAACGATAAGAACTACGACTTTTATACTCCACATATTTTATTCCTGTAAGAAGACCTTTCATTGGATACCAAGAACTTTGACCTTTTGACCTTGACCTAGGAGTTTTAACTACTTTTTAAAAAATAATAACCTTGGTTACAATGTTTGAACGGTAGAAACAAGGATTTTTATATTTCACATATGTATTCTTTGTGGCAAGACCTTTCAATACCAACAACTTTGAACCTTGACCTTGGAGATTTAAAAAAAACTTTAACCTTGACCATAACTTTTAAACGGTAAAGGCTTTTCGTAATTCACGTATGTAATCCTTGTTATGCCAAGAATTTTGACCCTTTAACCTTGACCTTGGAGTTTTAACTACTTTTTAAAAACGTTAAATATGAAACTGGACTTTCATATTTTTTTATATGTGTATTCTTTATGGCAAGACCTTTCATGGGATACCAAAAACTTTGACCTATTGACCTTTACCCTAAAAATGATATCTTGCCCACAAAGATACCGAAAGCGGGGGACCACAATTCTTTGAATTTGCTTGTTTCAAATGATACCAATGACGCCTTTGAAACAAGAGTAGTTTAATAATCAATTTTATTCTCACCCTTTTAAATTGATGATGTCTCAGAATATCAGAAATATTTTCATAAAAGACAATATAAAAGATAAAGATTAATTTTTTTAGTCAGGAAAAAAAAACTGCATTATCGATCATTTTACATTTAAATGAAACACATTGACTTTTGCACATCTGTGATAACGGCAATGTCACCTGAACCTTTTTTTCGAAATATAGGTGAACGGAAACGGGGACGTTAGAACACGTGTTCGGAAAGAAATAACGTTAAAAGTGTATTTACAAACCGGAAACGTCGATCCTGATGTGCGTGTTTGATTTGATTTCCTCTTGCACTTTTCATCCTAATTAATTAGAGTAAAAAGTCCTTGACATTGTGTGTTTCTTTTGGAATGAAAAGTAATTGACCTCGTTTTTCCGTAAAACAAAGTGTAGGTGGATGATAATTGTTGATGTGTGACGAGTCTTACATAATGTTATCTGAATTTCCTCTGGTGCATATTTGGTTTTTTTTTTAGAGAACAGATTCTTAATTGCTTGATGCCAATAAATTTAGACTTAAGCTGAGCAAGTTTCTGTGACATATCGAAATTCAATTGATAAAATATTATTAATCAATATTTTAAACCTTTCTTTGACTAAATTTTTCGATTTGAACTGCGTGGAAAATTCCTTCATTAAAGAATGCCGAGTTTCATGCACTTTGTAGTGAAAAAATAGCCAAATCTAGTAATTGAATTTTGGTTATATAAAATCACATAATTTTTTCTTCATCTGTAGTTGACCCACAAAGTACACGTTTTTAAGAGGACCGGG